AGTTATATATATCGATGTGCAATGATAGATAGATATGTGTAAAGTTATATATATCGATGTGCAATGATAGATAGATATGTGTAAAGTTATATAGCGATTTTCCAAGCGTAGCTTAGATGTGGCACAAGGCCGAAAGTAGGGGACACCCAGTGAGGATCGAACTCACTACTCAGTCGTAATTGTTCTAGCGAAACAAACTTGCTAACCATTACACCACCTCGACGTGCCCATCTGTAAAGTTATGTATATCAATGTGCAATGATAGATAGATAGATAGATAATGAAGCTGAGATAGATAGATAGATAGATAGATAGATAGATAGATAGATAGATAGATAGATAGATAGATAGATTGTATAAAAACAAGCGAGTAATCTACCTGGCGAAGAGAAAGATAGTGTAACACAGAAATCCGAAAGTTCACAGGAACAGCGGAAGGTGCTTTTCAGAACCTAAGCAAAGTATCAAGATGCAGGTAAACAGAGTTAGAAGCAAGGAAGAGAGATGAACTGCTATGTAATATCTGATCTCCCCTACGGCAGTAGATGTTGAACAATTTCCTCGCAGATAAAGGAATGCTAAGAATATTATGGACAGAATATATGAGCAACGAGGAAGTCGGGAAGAGAACACGTACGGTATGAAACTGCTTCTAACAAGAATAAGAAAATATTGCTAGAATAAAACAAAAGAGTACTGAACTGTTATGCAATAACTAACCTCCATTATGGCAGTTTTCGTTTGGTTTATTTTGTTTTAGGGCATATCAACACCTAGATGGATTATTTCATGCCGACAATATTTTTAGGATAGATTCGTATGAATAGAATATGCATTACTGTTATTTTCAATATTTAGTACTGGTAATTATTTTTCCAAAAATATATTGCTGGTATTTTTACTATAAAAATTTTGAACCTAGTTTGGTAGTTGACTATTTACCCATAGATGGATTGTTTTGTTTTACGACATATCAAACTCAATGGATTATTTAATACCGACATTTTTTTTTTTTTTTTTTTTTTTTTTTTTGCTGGTAATATTCTTTTTTCAAAAAGTATTTCTGGTAATATTTTTTTCAAAGATCTATTGCTGGTAATAATTTTGTTTTTCAAAAATATATTGCTGGTAATAATTTTTTTTTCACAAATATATTGCTGGTATTAAAACCTATTTTTACACTTTCATAGACTTTTGACTCCACTTTTGGGGGTTTAACTATTTGCCTATAGCCAAGACCCTAACAGGTGCTACCACCCCGGGTCAGGGTGGACCTGGAAATAAAAGCAATTAAGATGTGGATCCACGCTCCTCAAAGCCTTCCGATTAAAGACCTTGCTGCCGGGTGTAGCGTATCGTCATACCCAGGACGCTATATGACAGAGAATGTTGAACAATTTTCTTACTGATGAAGAAGACACTTAAAGTTACAGTGATGCGGAAGAATGCTGAGAATACAATGAACCGAAAATAGGAGCAAGGAGGAAGTCTTAAAGAGAATAGGAACTACAAGGAGGCTACAGGGACTACAAGGAACATTTCTGCGGTACATAATGAGAAAAGTAAGCTTGGAAAATTTAACACCCAAAGTGTAAGAAATACATTTCTTTTTTTTTATATATTTTTAATGTACAGAATAATTATTGATTGCAAAATATATAGTAAAACAAAATCTCATTTAATACAAGAATGTGTCTTGTTACTTTTTTTTAAATTATAATTACTGTATTCCTTCCCACAGAAATGTTTACTTTGTGTTGTAACCTAGAGAAGGTTAATGAATAGAATAATCACACGAAGGTTGGTAATGAACGATAATACTTAGGACAAGAACAACACATATAAGATTCGCCAGAGGCGTGTAGAAGTAGTCAACGGCTAGAAGTGAGTCAAGTGAATTCCACAATGAATCTCTAACAAGCAGGATATCTACCAACCGCCCCACGCGTTCAGATGCGGCACAAGGCCGAATTTAATGTGGGGTATCCGAACCCGTAGGCTCAGTCAAAAATTCCCCGTAGATCCCGTATAAAACGAGACTCTACTCTTCGACATAGTTTCGTCTAGGGATTCTCTCTTTCCGGAGGCAGAAAGTTTGACTAGCACAGCTGGAGACGAATCTCAAACTGCAGACCAACATACAGTATTTACTATTGTATTTATGTGAATGGAGACATACCCATTATCGTCCATAGATATGCTACAACGCTATCTCAACCTGTTCATATCTATCTATCTGTTGGAAGATAGGAAAGGTTACTGAATTGAATAATCAAATAAAGGTTGGTAATGAACGATAATACTTAGAACAAGAACAACACATATAAGATTCGCCAGCGGCGCGTAGGAGTAGTAGTCAACTCCCTAAGTAAGTCAAAGGAATTCCACAATGAATCTCCAACTCTAGACCAACATACAGTATTTACTACTGTATTTATGGGAATGGGGACATACCCATTATCGTCTGTAGGTATGCTACAACATTTTGGTAATAGAAAAATTGATTAAAACTAAACGAGAAAAGTTCTGGAAAGTCAGTGGATATACCTGTATTATTTAAATTATTTGGACTGTTATTCACAACGTTTCGGCTGTTGTACGCTCCGGTCTTCTTCAGGTGATTGGAATTTCGAACCGAATTCTTTATTTCGGCTACCGGGGTAGATTGGCCGAGTGGATAAAGACGTTAGTTAGATCCAGTGACTAGACCCCAAAATTTGTGAGTTCAGTACCAGGCCACAGCGTACAACGGCCGAAATGTAGTGAATATGCCAATGAAGATGAGGATTAACAGTCTGAACAATATAAATAATACAGGTAATCCTAATACATCATTGATAGTCAGTGGGTACATTTGGTTACACGACATTTTTTGTACCTAAGCTTTAAATATTTAAGCGTAGGACTTGATTGGCGTCAAGGTTTCATCGTCTGGCAGTTGAAATGGCTAAACGTAGTGGCTGGCCGTTCATATCCGAGTATTCTTGTCTACTGAGGTGGCTAGCCAATCCTTACTGCAGATGCTTGCTCAGGCACATTTCTGTTTGTTCAACACCCACAGAGCCCACCTGTGGTTTATACTACAACTATGCTGAGCGGATTTTACTTACAGTTTCTGAGAAATAGCGCGATCAACAGCCTGAACAAAGCCAGCATGTTCAAATCCTCGGTCACGATGACTTGTGACTTCGTGCTAGCACAACCATCGACGGCTTTCACTTTCATTCCACAAGGCTTGGGACAATTCGTGGTGTGCTCTTTAGTCACTTTCAAAGGTGTAGCCCTTAGGATCGATCCCCACCCCTGCCAGACCGATAACATCAAGAAGTCACCTTCCTGAAAAAAAAAACAACCAAGATCAGAAAACGAACGTTCTAACCACTTTCTCATGTACTCATACAATTTATAATTTATAATAATGCTCATATGATGAATCTGAGCCACTATCCATTACACCACCGTGCCTCCACACCATGGCACATGAGGATATCATAATTCAAGTTGTAGTTGGAGCCCTCGGATTTATTGGAAAAGGTTCCGATAAACCTATTGAAGGGATTTCTGGTAGTCCATGCCTAAAAGAAATACAAAACATTGTACTCACAGGTACACCTCACACATTCCTAAGAACTTTATCTATATAAAATGTGTATGTCTGTTTATATTACTGAGAGGTACTGTAACAATAATAAAATATATGAGACTAGAGAAAAAAATAATACCAAGGCTACAATTTATATATAATAATGTCTGATCGCTCGTAAGCGGGAATGACTGCCTGCTAGGACGGCTAGACAATCCCTGTTGCAGACGTTTGCTCAGGCACATTTGTGTTTGTTCAGCACCCACAGTGCGCACCTGCGGTTTAATACTATAACTATGCTGAGCGGGCCTTAGTTACAGTTTCTGGAGGATTATCTAGCGCCATCAACAGCCTGAACAAAGCCAGCATGCTCAAACCCTCGGCCACGATGACTTGTGACTTCATGCTAGCACAACCATCGACGGCTTTCACTTTCCTTCACAAGGCGTGGATCAACCCGTGATATGGTTTTATGGTTTTGTGCCACTTGCTGGGGGTGGTCCAAGCTGCTAGATGTAACCGTAAGTTCAAACCGTTTCTTTTCTCACACTTCTCGGTTGTGGAACTCTCTTCCGGCCTCTTGCTTCCCAGTTAAATTTGATCTTCAAAAATTTAAATGCAATGTCCATCGTTATCTTTTGTCTTCATAATTCCTCTTCTTTTATTCTTCTTTCTCCTTAAGAATGTTGACTTTTTCTAATATTCTCTCACACTCAGAAACCCCCTTGCGTCGCAGAGGCTTTATTGCCCTGCTTGGGGAGAAATAATCTAAAAAAATATATATAATAAACAATTAGCACTAAAATACAATCATGATCATCATTGCATTTTCCAATTATGCGAAATTACAATGATTGGAGAAATAAATTTAATGATCGAAGTGAATTTAAAATACTGTCTGTGATATCACAGGCTATCTAAATTGCAACTATATTAATATTTTTCATTTTATTTTTTCTTCATATTCATTTTGTCGCCTCTCTTGCGATGGACGCTTGCTTGTTTAAGTTATGCAATTGCTAAGATATTTGGAATCGTAGCTGAGATGAAAGATATTTTCACGTTATTTCTTTATCGATTAAAATCATTTCTTTCAAACATTTTTTTTTTAAATTGTTCATATGGTGAGGTTTATTTAAACATCACATTAATTAATTTCGGATAAAAGCCAAATTTTAAGATATTATTTTAATTAACTACATAATTAAACTTAACGAGTTATTTAAATTAATTATGATTAGTGGTTTAGATGGGCACTTTGGAGTAATGGATAGCGGCTCAGATTACAGAATCGGATAGTCGAGTTCGAATTCCAGTCGAATCCATTACATTCTAACGTGTTAATACCCTTGGGTAAGGTATGACTCCCCCAAAAAAACTATGGATAGATAGCAGGACAGACCGGGTTCTATAGCCTTGGATGGCAACTGGTCTACCGCAGAAAGAAATGGTAACCTACAGCGAGAAAAATCATGTATCGAAAGATACATAATAGTGTGTATCACGCATGACACATAACTGTATGTGTTTAGATAGAAAAACTAAAAATAGACGATACGAATAATGTTTTAATATATTCTTCAAATTTCGTATAAAATGTTGAGTATTGTGATCGAAGTTATGGACAAACTGTGCAAAGTTCATATTTTGTTATTTTTGTTCAAGTACTTTCGACCATCGCAGTCATTGTCAAGAATCGATGTGATGTCTGTATAGTAGTTCCTTTGTCTATAGCAGGGTATTCTTTGAGAAGCTGGATGTTTGAAATGGTCTAACGTGACGCCATTTGTGATGGTCATTGGGAACGAGGCCGCATAAAAAATGTGATTTATTTATTTTATTATTTTATTCATTTATTTGAATTTTCTTTATACTAATGTAATATATACATCAATTAATTATATGATATCCAATTCAAATTATCGTCTCCTGGGGTGAATGATATTTGATTTAATAATTGTTGAAACTTGACTAATGCATGGAATAATAATACAACACAAAATGTACTTAGAACAAAATGTATTGAAACAAGAAAGGTACACAATATTTCCATATAGTCTTTTGTATATTCTTGGGAAGACTGTTCCTGGAGAATGTGTTGACTTAGTCGCAGTCGGCAGAGTCTCTGGATTGAATCTCTTGATCCCCCCCCGTCTTCCCGGTACCAACCATATTTATATGGTCGGTACTCCACTATGCAAATTAGGTGGATCCTACCACAACAATAATCGTTGTTTATTTTGCATAGCAGTAGCTTATAGGGTCTGGAGTATTTCCTTGCATTGTGTACTGTAGTGTATTTTTGTTATTATCAAATATATATATATATATATTATTTGCATTACTCGGACTATTGTCCTCATCTTTGTCGCCATATTTATTACAACGCTTCGGCCGTTATACGCTCCGGCCTTCTTCAGGTGGTTGGAATGTCGAACTGAACCCTTTATTTCGCTCACTGGGGTAGACTGTTCTAGTTCCACGTGCCATGTTTTATGGATGTCAGTTATCAGTTATCTCCTGTTAATTTTCCCTCTGAAAGTTCTCCACTGCCTTAACCGTGTATTGAACTCACACGCTTTGGGTTCTGTCACTGGATCTAACCAACGCTTTTATCCACTGTGCCATGTGTCCTTGAGTTCAATACCCGGCTTTGAGAATTGAAGAGGTCAAGATTCCAGTGTTTATGAAAACATCTTACTGAGAGTCTAGAAGATATTTACTGAACTTACTTTAGTCTGGCACAAGGCGACAATTGTTGAGCAGCAAGTTGTAATTGAATTCAATAGAAAAAAAATTATAATCTACTAAACAAATAATTATTCTACACCAAGGTACCCAAATCAACTAGTATTGGGTTGGTGCATAATTATCAGGCGTTTTCGTAGGCGAGTTATTTGTTAATAAAAATTGCTGTTTTGTTAACTTCTTTTAATAAAAATATGATTTTATATGTCGATAATCATACGCTCCGGAATAATCATTTTAAAATGTCAGTGTTGTATTTCTTGTTATGTTTCTTTTTTCATAATAAATATTGTTTAAAAAAACGCCTGATAATTATACACCAACCAAATGTGTATATATATATATATATATATATATATATATATATATATATATATATATATATATATATTTTTTACTTAGTGTCGTTGTCGGGCTGTCGGTTTCCTGAAACTGATGTGCTTATCCTCATACGTCGAAATCGACGGGAGTCGTCATATATATATATATATATATATATATATATATATATATATATATATATATATATATATATATATATACTGTACTATGCAAGCAGAAGGAGAATTTTTAAGATCCTTGAATTTATTCGGAGATATGTGAGCTTTATTTTTTACTTTTTATGCTGCGCTGGATCAATTTTTTTTTTTATTTACGTATTTTAATCGTAATTTTATTTGTTTTTTTTTTTTTTCATAATTTTACGTATTTCGTAATTTTAAGCGTGTCCCAGTGCTATCTCTTATCAATCCAAATGAGTTAAAAGTTGCCACCGATTGGTCCCTGATGATGCGTTGGCCGAAAGGTAGCCTAGGTCCGGATATTTAAAAAAAAAAATGAACATGAATTTATGTTTATTTAAATCAATATTCCTGTTCTGTGGTATCAGGTCTTTGTTTCAATATATATATATATATATATATATATATATGAAGAAAAATATACGGAAAAACAAACAAAAATCTTAATATACAATTATGCTGTTTTAATGTTAACGTAATGTCAACGTCGGACGTTCGGTCTAGTAAACCATCTTCAGGACATATTCATAAAACATAATTAACATTAGACTATATTTAATTCAACAGGAAAAGACGATAGTCTAATGTTAATTCTAGTGTTTGAATTCAATCCACAATAATCATGACTACAGGACTAGCTTGCTAACA